CCTGCCTGTGGCGGGTTCTGCACCTTCTGACCCCCTGTTTTGAACTAGGCTGGCGACCACCATGACGGAATAACGAAGTTTTGTTGTAAGTGAGCAGTTGAAAGGAATAGGTTTGGGTGGTTTTGCCGCCTCGGACGGTGTGGGGGTGGGAGAAAGGTATCGGGCCAGAGCTGCTCTTCGCACCTCACGGAGCTTTCGAGCTTGTTGCAAAGCCTAACCTTCACAGCATCTACGCCCCATTACAGCAAACCCCAAACCTTAAACCCCGAACCCTAAACCCCAAATCCTAAACCCTAAACCCTAAACCCCAAGCAAAGCTTAGTGCCCGAAGCCCCGACGGCCAGGAGGCCTGGTGCCGGGAAGAAGTGCCGAGCCAGGTCATCCTCTGGGAGAGGGCTTAGGGTTTCAACCCTAAACCCTAAACCCTAAACCCTAAACCCTAAACCCTGAACCCTGAACCCTAAACCCTAAACCCTGAACCCTGAACCCTAAACCCTAAACCCTGAACCCTGAACCCTGAACCCTAAACCCTAAACCCTAACCCTAACCCTAAACCCTAAACCCTAAACCCTCAGCCCTAAGCCCTAAGCCCTAAGCCCTAGCCCTAAGCCCTAAGCCTAAACCCAAGGAGGTTTCAGCCTTATGCTCCTTGCAACTCCTAGGACTCCTTGCAAGAACCTGCTTCGTGGTGAGTAGAGCTTGGTTTCAGGCTTTAGGGTTTTGGGTTGCCTGCTTCTGGCTGTTGGGTTGCGGGCTTCGGGTACTCCATTGATCCCTGAACCTCAAACCCCAAGCCCTACAACGTAAAACCCTCAGGTTTGAGCCACTGTAAACCCTAAAACCCTAAACCCTGTACCCTTACGGTTTAGGCCCTAAACCTTAAACCCTTAACCTTAAACCCTAAACCCCTCAACTTTAGGGCTTGGGGTTTTGGGTTTGGGTCAGAATTCGGTGAAGGACAAGGTCTACCTTTGGACGCAGAGCTTGGCGAGTCAGTCGCCGTCGCTCTCGCTGGGCTTCCCTCTGCCGCCTATCTGCCATGTCGGGATGTGGGGTTTACATTTATGGGGTTTAGAGGGTTTATAAGGGTTTATAAGGGTTTATAGGGTTTACACGGTTTGTAGGGTTTATAGGGTTTATAGGGTTTTTTGGGTTTGCAGGGGTTTATGGGGCTCATGGGGTTCATAGGTTTTTTCGGGTTGCAGCGCGAGGCACCATTTCGGGCCGGAACTCCCCCAATTCGCTGAAAGGTTCGCAGCCCACTGGTGCAAGTTGTGCTCTGTCCGGGTTGAGGGCTGAGGGTTTAGGGGCTCAGGGTTTCGGGCTTAGGTTTTAGGGTTTAGGGCTAGGGTTTAGGGGCTTAGGGTTTAGGGTTTAGGGTTTAGGGTTTAGGGTTTAGGGTTTAGGGTTGTAGGGTTTAGGGTTTTAGGGTTTTAGGGCTTGTGGGCTTTAGGGCTTGCAGCTTTTGGCCTTCTCTCTGAAGCCCTAAACCCTCGACCTGCCTATAGGGGTCGAGCCTTGCCAACCCCCGGGCCTCGGGGTTTAGGGTTTAGGGTTTAGGGTTTAGGGTTTAGGGTTTAGGGTTTAGGGTTTTAGGTTAGGGTTGTAGGGCTTCAGGGTTTGAGGGCTTGGGATGTAGGATTCTTCATTGCGTGTTGGGTTTTTGAGGTGTTAGGAGCCCTTTTATCGACTTTAGTAAGATGTTCCGATGGGGGCCTCGGGCTAGTCCAGGGTTTAGGGTAGTTGACACATGGGTTTGGGGCTTGAGGAGGGTTGAGGTTATAGGGTGTAGGGGTTTAGGGTGTTAGGGTTTCAGGGGTTTCGGGTTTAGGGCTTTTAGAGTTTTAGGGCTCTTAGGGTTTAGGGTTCAGGGTTTAGTGTTTAGGGTTTACAGTTTAGGGCTTAGGGCTTAGGGTTTGGATGTAGGGGTTAGGGCTTTAGGCGTTCAAGTCAGCCATATAACCACAAAATGGGTTTAAGCATTCCCTTGGCTTTACATATACAAACAACAGCGTTGAGGCCCTTGTCGGTTCCGACGATCCGCTCGCCCTTTGCGAAGAAGGCCCTGTGCACCAGAGTGCTTTGAGGGTTTGGGGTTTAAGGTTTATGGTTTAGGGTTTAGAGTTTCATGTTCTGTGAGGGTTTCGGGGGTGGGGGGGGGGGGTTGCGATTTCTAAACCCGATACCCCGAGGCCTTTAATTCTCAGGGCTCAGGTTTTAAACCCTGAGACGCCTCAGTCTTCAACCCAAACGCTAAACTCTCGACCCTAAGCTGGCGGAGGGTTCGCCATCTTGAGCCCTAAACACTGAGCCCGGAACCCTGCTTCCCCAAACTGCAACCCTACACCACAAACTCCAAAGGGGAGGGGGTTCCAAACCCGAAGCCCTGAACATTAACCCTAAACCCTAAACCCTCAACCCTCAAAAACCCTCAAAACCCTCAGAAACCCTCAGAAACCCTCAGAAACCCTCAGAAACCCTCAGACACCTCCAAAACCCTCCAAAACCCTCAAAAACCCTCAAAAATCCTAGACCCCTAGACCCCTAAACCCAAAACCCTAAAGGAGGCTTCGCCTTTCCGCACCCACCTGGAGGTTCATGGTACTTATTAACATGTTATATCTGTACTTATAACCACATTTGGGCACCTAAGTGGCTAATAAGTGGGTCATAAGTACAGTAAAATTTGGTTAATAAGTACCCCTAAACCCCAAGCCCAAAAACCCAAAACCCTAAACCCTAAACCCTACATAGTACCATGAACCTCCAAGCAGGCTCCGATCCCAGCGTCGCTGACGCCGATGAAGCCACCACGCCCGGCCAAGGAGCCCTGCGAAGAAGTTCAGGGCGTTTTGGGTTTTAGGGTTGAGGGTGTAGGGTCGAGGGTTAGGGTTCAGGGTTTAGGGTTTGGGGTTTAGGGTTCAGGGTTTAGGGTTTAGGCCCGAGGGCTAAAGGGATGTCTTCCAGCGCAGCGGCTGAGGATCTCTCACGCTCACATGGCGCCATCGCCACCCCAGGGTGTGGGTCGTAGCATGTGGGTTGAGGGCTCGGGTTTTAGGGGTTTAGGGGATCAGCTTTCGGGTTTGTACAGCATATATAGGTTTTTGGATTCGGATCTGCAACCCTCGATTGTAGCACCCTGTCAACATTCTCCAAACCTTCTCAAAACCCCCCTGAACCACCACGATGGTACCTGGTGGGCCTAACAGTACAGTGCCCTGGGAGGATCTACGAACAGCTAGGGTTTCGAGGCTTTGGGTTTAGGGTTTAGGGCTTAGGGAACTGAAACAGTTGAGCAAACATGTCCTCGGTTGCCTGGTAGAGACTGCGAAAACAACTCAACAGCCCAAATCGACACATGGCTGTCCGGCATACGCCACCCACCACCATGCTCGAACGTGTAACGATTGCGCGTCGCTACCTGATGTCCCAGTCAATCCAGTCATAACTACCATTGCAATCTCCCTAAACCCTAAACTCTAAACCTTAAGCGCCTTCATTTAATGCAGCCGAACCCTTTCTTTCCAGGAAGCCTAAACCCTAAACCTCAAAGCCCAAAACCGATTGGCTCCTGTCAGTTGCGCCCTGCTGCACTGGTGGAGCCCAGCACGCCTGTGGAGCCCGCGCATGAGGATGCTTCACAGGTTCGCGCGGGAGTTCAGGGGTTCCAGAAAAACCTGTGGCTGCCGGATTCGGGGGCGTGGACTGGGGAGGTTTTTTCAACTCAAAAAACCCTAAACCCGAACCCTAAACCCTAAACCCCAAAAACCCTAAACACCCTAAACCGCGTGTTTGTTGCAGGGAACGCCTAGGGCTAGGGGTCTGTCGATCCAAGCGGGGCTGGAGTCGCCACGCTTTCGGAAGGTTACTTGTCTTGGAGAGCGCAGAACGCCCTGTGGTCAGGGGTTTAGGGTTTAGGGTTTAGGGTTTAGGGTTTAGGGTTTAGGGTGATGCCCCCATGAAAAAAGAGCGGTTTACATGTACCAAGCGCGAGTGGTAGATTGAGTTCATGATTTTTTTAATTAAGGGCAAGTGTGGGAAGACAAAGATAAACACAAAGAAGCTGGTCATCACAAGAGGTAGAAGATGTAGTGGCGCAGATTTCTGTACCCAAGACAAACGCTTGAGGTACATCCCTTCGCCCGCCCGCACACCCCAAGAACCCAAGCCAAAAGTCCCGACTGCTTAAAGTAGGGGCGTGGGGCTTGAGGGTTCAGGGTTTAGGCTTGAGTGGGTCGAGGGTTTAGGGCTTAGCGTTTAGGCTTTCGTGGTTTTAGTGGGTTTAGGGTTTGGGGTCCTCCCAGGCCCTCGCGCCGCCATCCGCAGACGACTGGCTGCCCTTGCCGCAGGAACCCTAGACCCTGAACCCACATTATCAGAATGGCCTGAAGGTGGTAGAAAATGGGAACCCTAAAATCCTGAGCCCCAAATTCTCAGAATGGCCTGAAGGTAGTGGAAGTGGTAGAAAGCTAAGAAGGCTTGTTGGCTCAGTTCCTGGATTCCTATATGTACGTTTGTGGGAGGGGTGGGGGGTGGTCTACATTCTGGGCCTGCTTCTTGGCCAACCGCAGATGCAAGAATCTGAGAAGTATACTCGTCAACAGGGGACGATCTGCGCCATCAGCGCAAGGCGCGTGATATCGCTAAGAGTCGAAGCAGTTGTAAGAGCTTGAGAAAGTGTAGTAGCAATGTGCATAGTGGAGTGCCCCGAATTTAGGATACCCTGCATACGTCACTAGGCCCACCCCCCCCCCCCGCTCCGAAAGGACACTTCTAAAGGGGCTCTGATGTGTCTAAGGGTTTTGGCGTCTAGGTGCTCGGGTGTGGTTGGAGTGAGGTCAGGCAGGGACTTAGGGTTCCGGCGAAGGCTTACAGATTTCTGGACCCCAAACAAACTTCAAGCCCCAAACCCTAAGCCAGGTCGTTGCAGCAGCAAAAGGCCACTACACTTAAACCAAAAACAACAAAACCTTAAGAACCCTCTCCTTGTTTTTGTGGAGGAGAGGGCAGAACCACTGTGGATCACGTCGCCCTCACCTCCCTCAGTCGGACCAGAGGATCCCGAGGCCGCGCCGTCTCAAGCTTGAGTTAGGGTCTAGGGCGTTTAAGGTTCTGGGTTTCGGGGTGTCAGGCTTAAGGGCTTCATGGCTTAGGGATTTCGGGGTTGAAGCGGTTGTGCAGCCACGAGCATCCCAAGTCCCGAGCCCTAAACCCCTAAACCCTAAACCCTAAACCCTAAACCCTAAACCCTAAACCCTAAACCCTACACCCTAGACCCTAAACTTAAGCCCTTCAGCCCTTAGGCCGTGAAGCCCTTAAACCCTTAAGTCCTGGATTCGCCACCTTGCACAGCACCCTTCCCAGTCCCTATGTGCTGCTCAGATCCCCTGTCAAGGCAACAAGTTAACCCTAGGGTTTAGGGTTTAGGGTTTAGGGTTTAAGGTTTAGAGTTTAGGGTTGACCCCCAGATTTGCCTCTTACTTGGGGGCCGCGAAGCTGCTACAGAGGAGCTTCACTGTGGTCCAAGTAACTTCCAAGACGTAGGTACATGGGGGCTCAGGGTAGATTCTGGCCCCTCTCCTGTTGTATTACATCCAGTCTAAGGCACCCACATTTTGGGCCCAGTCGTAGCTGAGCCCTGCTTAGTTTAGCATGGCCACCCAAAGCCCTGAACTAACGCTGAAGCCTAAACCCTAGACCCTAAACCCTGAACCCTAAACCCTAAACCCTAAACCCTAAACCCTAAACCCTAAACCCCAAACCCCAAACCCAAAACCCTAAACCCGAAAAAATTGCACCAGGATGTGGCCTCCTCTCCGAAGTATGCGTGGAGCGTCCGTGGTGCTTCGGACGAGGCCTTCAGAGTTCGGTGCTTAGGGTTTAGGGTTTAGGGTTTTGGGTTTAGGGTTTCTGGTTAGGGTTGAGGGCTTAGGGTTTTTGTTGGGTAAGCCTTCTTCCTTATCCCCTAAGCCCTCTATTTGCTTAAGAACCCCCCCTCCCCCAAAAAACAAAAAGCACAAAATAGTCTTCCTTGAGTACTATCTTCTATTTTTTGGAGTTTCTTGAGCAACTAGTAGAAGCCCTAAAGCCTAAATGGGTGAACCTCTAGGTCTCTACCGGACGTCGTGTTGCAACTCCTTGACGAAGTGCTCAAAAAAAGACAGGCGCGCACTTTTCAGATCGTTTAACTACAGTTTGCTGAAGAACCCCCCCCAAAGAAAACCAAAACATGTCATTCCTTATAAGGGCAATATAGGGATCATTATATCATATTCTTTTGGGGTTAATACTAGGGATCATTATATATTATTCTTTTGGGGTTAATACTAGTTAAGCCTGCATGTTTCGATGGACCCCCTCAAAAAAAGGGCCCAAAGAGCCCCCAATCCCGCAAAGGTCGGGGTGGAACCCTGACACCCTGACACCCAAAACCCTAAGCCCTAAACCCTAAACCCTAAACCCTAAACCCTAAACCCTAAACCCTAAACCGCACGCCCCAAGACGACGTGAGAATGTGCCTGGCAGAAAAAATCTAGGGGGTTCGGGGCGGCCCTCCACCCTCAACCCTCCGGATTCAAGGGTTTAGGGTTTCAGGGTGGTTTCGGGTGCTAGTGTTTCTTAGGGTTTTGGGCTTTAGGGTCTTAGGGCTTTAGGGTTTCAGGGCTTCAGGGCTCACCCTAAACCCCACACCCTGCACCCTACACCCTAAACCCTAAACCCCAAACCCTAAACCCTAAGCCCTAAACCCCAAACCCTAAACCCTAAACCCTAAACCTTAAACCCCAAGCCTAAACCTTAAACCCTAAACCCGGACGTGCAGGAAGACGTCCAGGCGCCCCCGGTCAGGGAGATGGACTCAGAGGAGGCAGGGTTTAGGGTTTAGGGTTTAGGGTTTAGGGTTTAGGGTTAGGGTTTAGGGTTTAGGGTTTAGGGTTTAGGGTTTAGGGTTTAGGGTTTAGGGTTTAGGGTTTAGGGTTTAGGGTTTAGGGTTTAGGGTTTCATGGCTTGGGGCTTTGGGGAAGCTTAGTTCAGTGTCAGTAAGAAGGGTTAGGGTTTAGGGTTTCGGGTTTCGGGTTTAGGGTTTAGGGTTTAGGGTTTAGGGTTTAGGGTTTAGGGTTGAGGGCTTTAGGGCTTTAGGGCTTTGGGGGTTTAGGCTGCTTTCGGGCTTTTGTTTAGAGTTGAGTTCGCTCAATCTCCACATTTGTGGCAACTTACCCCGAGAGGGAGGTGAGCTCTGCTGGGGCATGGGCCCCTATCAGGTTAAGGGCCTACTCGGAATCCAGGGTCCCTTGGTACAGGTATCGTTCGCCAATTTAGGGTTTCAGGGTTTCAGGGTTTCGGGTTTGGGAATAGGGCTTAAGAAGGTATGTTTTGGGAGGCAGGCCCTCAACTCTCAACCCTAAACCCGAAACCCCAAACCCCTACCAACCCTAAACCCGCCTTGTGTGCTGAGCCTCCCTTAGGATTCAGGTCCCCCCCAAGCTAAACCCACAAAACCGAAACCCCAAAACCCCTACACGCCTGAATCCCTAAATCCGTACAGTGCGCCTGAACCCTAAGCGGCTAAATCCTTCCCCAAGCCCTAAACTCAAAACCCTAAACCCCAAACCCTAAACTCTAAACCCTATACCCTAGACCCTAAAACCCAAAACCCAAAACCCCAAACCCTAAACTCTAAACCCTATACCCTAGACCCTAAAACCCAAAACCCTAAACCCTAAACCTTCAACTCTTCGATTCAGGAGATCCCCTTGGCCCAGCCGGACCCCAGCTTCTCCGACAGCACGCAACGGAGTGCCGAGGCCGGCTCGGTGTTTGAAGCGTTGAGGGTTTAGGTTAAACAGGGTTTAGGGTTTAGGGTTTAGGGTTTAGGGTTTAGGGTTAAACAGGTTGGTGGTCTCTTTAATTGGGGTTTCTGTTTTGCAAGGGGTAGATATAGGAAGCCTGAGTATGGTATGTAGGGCTATCTAGGGTAGTATAAGGTTTTGGTCTTAGGGCCTTAGGGTTTGGGGGTTTCTGGGTTTTGGCGTTTAGGGGTTTAGGAGTGTAGGGTTTGTGATTTAGGGGTTTAGGGGTTTTTTGGGCTTGGGGTTCAGGGGTTTTAAATTTTAGGGTTTTGGATTTGGGTTTTCTTGGCTTGGGGTTTTGGGTTTAGGGAGTTTTAGGGTTTGGGGGTGTGGGGGTTTGGGGGCTTTAGGGTTAGGTTGTAGGGTTGTAGGGTTGTAGGGTTTTAGGGTTTAGGGTTGGCTTCTGAGGCTTTTGGGAATCTAGGGGTTCAGGGTGTTTAGGTGCTTCGGGGGCTTGGGGGGTTTCGAGTTTAGGCCACTGGCATCTGGGTTTCGAGCAGGGGGCCCTAAGCCCGCACCCAAGCTGCGGTCGCCAAATGGGTGCGGGCTCGAGCGCCTCCATAGTTTCAGGGTGTTGGGGTTCAGGGTTTCGGGTGTAGCGGTGAGGGGTTTAGGGTTTAGGGTTTAGGGTTTGGGGTTTGGGGTTTAGGGTTTGGGGTTTAGGGTTTAGGGTTTGGGGTTTAGGGTTTAGGGTTTAGGGTTAGGTGTTTCGTGTTTCGCATCTAGAGTGGGGTCGGGGCTCCAGAAGCCTAAACCAAACAGGGTGGGGGGGTTCAGGGTTCGGGTGTGGGGTCCCGGCTGCAGAAGGCTTTGGGCCCCTGGATTGTCAAACTCGGGTTTAGGGTTTAGGGTTTTGGGTTTAGGGTTTAGGGTTTAGGGTTTGGGGTTTGGGGTTTGGGGTTTGGGGTTTGGGGTTTAGGGTTTAGGGTAACCGGATCTAGGGCGGTTGCTTGTATAACCGAGACCCTCAAACCTTGAGAGCCAAGTGCGGCGAAACTCTCTTTTTCCAGTCTCTTGCTTGCCCGAAAACGCCCGAAGTCCTCAACGCTAAGCCCTAAAGCCTAGAGCCTAAACCCTAAACCCTAAACCCTAAACCCTAAATGTCACTCCATCCTGGAGGCTGACAATGAGGAGCTGGTGACGCGAGCAGAGGAGGCCCTCCCCTCCCCCCCCCCCTCGAAACCCTTTAATACCGTTTAGGGGTAGGGTTTAGGGTTTAGGGTTTAGGGTTTAGGGTTGGGTATGCTAAAACAACGACGGAGGCCAACAAGGCGAACTGGAGTGGGTACATTGTGAACCTGTTGAATGTGCTCATGATGTAGTGTGTGTTTAAGGTTTCGGGTTTAAGGCAGTGTGCATCAGGCAGCTCTGGCAAAGGCAAGAGCTGAGGCAGAAGAGGCGAGCTGGGCTGTGTGACGATGGGCGGTGAGCAGACTGAGCCAACATGCCTTGAGAGAGCAAGTTGCTGATGCAGGCACGCCAAAAGGCCAAGGCAGAAACGGAGAAGCTACAGGCATTCGGTGTTTATGAAGCTCTTTGTTTCTTGCCCGTCGTCCTGCCATGACTAGGCTGCCCAAGCTAAAGCGCGCAAGGAAGCAGAGGAGAAGCTCCGGCAGGAGGCATGCTCATGAAATGATGACGTTGGTAGGCCGTTGTTGCATGTGCTAGCGGTGTCTTGAACATCAGGCAGCTCAGGCAAAGGCAAGGGCTGAAGCGGAAGAGGCGAGCTGGGTAGTGTGACGATGGGTGGTGAGCAGACTGAGCCAAGACGCCTTCCAACATGCCTTGACTGAGCAAGTTGCTGATGCAGCCATGACTAGGCTGCCCAAGCCAAAGCCCGCAAGGAAGCAGAGGAGAAGCGCCATCAGGAGGCAGGCTCATGAAATGATGACGTTGGTAGGCCGTTGTTGCATGTGCTAGCGGCGTCTTGAACATCAGGCCTCTCTGGCAAAGGCAAGGGCTGAAGCGGAAGAGGCGAGCTGGGTAGTGTGACAATGGGTGGTGAGCAGACTGAGACAACATGCCTTCCAACATGCCTTGACTGAGCAAGTTGCTGATGCAGCCATGACTAGGCTGCCCAAGCCAAAGCCCGCAAGGAAGCAGAGGAGAAGCGCCAGCAGGATGCATGCTCATGAAATAATGATGTTGGCACGCCGTTGTTGATTGTACTAGTGGTGTCTTGAACATCAGGCTGCTTTGGCAAAGGCAAGGGCTGAAGCGGAAGAGGCGAGCTGGGTAGTGTGACGATGGGTGGTGAGCAGACTGAGCCAACATGCCTTGACTGAGCAAGTTGCTGCTGCAGGCACGCCAAAAGGCCAAGGTAGAAACGGAGAAGCTGCAGGCATTCGGTGTTTATGGTGTTTATGAAGTTCTGTGTTTCTTGCCCGTCGTCCTGCCATGACTAGGCTGCCCAAGCCAAAGCGCGCAAGGAAGCAGAGGAGAAGCGCCAGCAGGAGGCATGCTCATGAAATGATGATGTTGGTAGGCCGTTGTTGCATGTGCTAGCAGTGTCTTGAACATCAGGCTCTCTGGCAAAGGCAAGGGCTGAAGCGGAAGAGGCGAGCTGGGTAGTGTGACGATGGGTGGTGAGCAGACTGAGCCTTCCAACATGCCTTGACTGAGCAAGTTGCTGATGCAGCCATGACTAGGCTGCCCAAGCCAAAGCCCGCAAGGAAGCAGAGGAGAAGCGCCAGCAGGATGCATGCTCATGAAATAATGATGTTGGCACGCCGTTGTTGATTGTACTAGTGGTGTCTTGAACATCAGGCTGCTTTGGCAAAGGCAAGGGCTGAAGCGGAAGAGGCGAGCTGGGTAGTGTGACGATGGGTGGTGAGCAGACTGAGCCAACATGCCTTGACTGAGCAAGTTGCTGATGCAGGCACGCCAAAAGGCCAAGGTAGAAGCGGAGAAGCTGCAGGCATTCGGTGTTTATGGTGTTTATGAAGTTCTGTGTTTCTTGCCCGTCGTCCTGCCATGACTAGGCTGCCCAAGCCAAAGCCCGCAAGGAAGCAGAGGAGAAGCGCCAGCAGGAGGCAGGCTCATGAAATGATGATGTTGGTAGGCCGTTGTTGCATGTGCTAGCGGTGTCTTGAACATCAGGCAGCTCAGGCAAAGGCAAGAGCTGAAGCGGAAGAGGCGAGCTGGGTAGTGTGACGATGGGTGGTGAGCAGACTGAGCCAACATGCCTTGCAACATGCCCTTGACTGAGCAAGTTGCTGATGCAGCCATGACTAGGCTGCCCAAGCCAAAGCCCGCAAGGAAGCAGAGGAGAAGCGCCAGCAGGAGGCAGGCTCATGAAATGATGATGTTGGCATGCCGTTGTTGATTGTACTAGTGGTGTCTTGAGCATCAGGCTGCTTTGGCAAAGGCAAGGGCTGAAGCAGAAGAGGCGAGCTGGGCTGTGTGACGATGGGTGGTGAGCAGACTGAGCCAACATGCCTTGCAACATGCCTTGACTGAGCAACTTGCTGATGCAGCCATGACTAGGCTGCCCAAGCCAAAGCCCGCAAGGAAGCAGAGGAGAAGCGCCAGCAGGAGGCAGGCTCATGAAATGATGATGTTGTTGGCATGCCGTTGTTGATTGTACTAGTGGTGTCTTGAGCATCAGGCTGCTTTGGCAAAGGCAAGGGCTGAAGCAGAAGAGGCGAGCTGGGTAGTGTGACGATGGGTGGTGAGCAGACTGAGCCAACATGCCTTGACTGAGCAAGTTGCTGATGCAGGCACGCCAAAAGGCCAAGGAAACGGAGAAGCTGCAGGCATTAGGTGTTTACGGTGTTTATGAAGTTCTGTGTTTCTTGCCCGTCGTCCTGCCATGACTAGGCTGCCCAAGCCAAAGCGCGCGCGGAAGCAGAGGAGAAGCGCCAGCAGGAGGCAGGCTCATCGACGTTGTCCTTAAACCGTAAACTCTACACCCTAAGTCCTAAACTCCTAAAACCCTAAGCCCTAAACCCTCAACCCTTGTGAAACTCACCCTGTGTAGACATCCTTTCTCCGTGTAGCCGAGGTCACATCTCCTAGT